TAGCCTCTGTGTTGCTACGCTTAGCCTCTGTGTTGCTACGCTTAGCCTCTGTGTTGCTACATGTAGTGACAGTTCCAGTCAGCAGAACCTTGTTACTCAGTTCGTCCGTTCTCAATGAGTCCTTTTAAACGCTGATGGTCTGCATCAACATGGATTCAGGTGGAGGAACTGTTCCTGCTCTCCAGGTGGTGAGGGTTAGGGTGGGTTTAGGTGAGCGATGGCTGGCGGTCAGAGCAGTTTGCTTCCTCTCTGTCTCATACGGTCGATCCCCACAGCAGCCATTTTGTTTATGTATCTTTCTCTGCATTTCCTACCAAGATGGCGCGGATCACTTCTGGCGTGTTTCATGTTATTTTAGGTGTTTATATTTGTCCTCATGCCAGCTTGGTGCTCTGGGGTCCCCCTGGTGGTGTGAGCTTGATCTGACGGTTTGGTTCTGGTTCCAGATGGAGAACTACAGCCGGGCCCGGGTCGTAGAGCAGCCGTGCGTCTCTCCATTCGCCGGGCTTCCCGCCGACACGCCGGAGGTCCGGGTTAGAGACGGCAGCAAGATCCGGAACCTGCTGCGCTTCGCTCTGAGCCGGCTGGAGGTCGGGCCGGGCCGGGCCCAGGAGGAGGGGGAGGAGCCCGGTCCCAGCCCCGGTCCGGCCTGCAGTCAGCTGCTGTTCAGCGCCAGCGGCCGGGCCGTTTCCAAGGCGATCACCTGCGCGGAGGTGGTGAAGCGGCGCCTGAAGGGGCTGCACCAGCTGACCCGGCTGGCCCAGTCCACGGTTCTGGAGGTGTGGGAGCCGCTGGAGGACGTCGCCGGCTTGGACAGTCTAACCGTCAGCAGGAAACTGCCGGCCGTCTGGATCCTGCTGTCCCGGGAGCCGCTGGACCCGGAGCAGCCCGGCTACCAGGCGCCGGGTCGCTATGACGCCCTGTGGGCCCCGGAGGGTGCCGGCGGGCCGGGGCCCCGCGCTGGGGCCCGCAGGAGGAGAGGAGGAGGAGGAGGAGGAAGAGGGAGGGGCTCCGGCAGACACACCGGCCGCTCCAGAGAGCCTGGCAAAGGACAGTAGAGGTTTCCATAGCAACTTGACAGGAAGTGACTCCATGTTTAAGTTCACGTCCAGTTTGATGTTTTGATTTAATAACGTTCAGCAGGAGAAAGTATTCACACCCTGCTGACTTCAAACCATCCTGGTTTTTACTGGGGAACTTTGTGACAAGCTGAAGCTAAAAAGTGTGGCCTGCTTCTCCATTTTTTTTATTTATTTCAAGTCCAGTTTGATATTTTTTGTTCCATCATGATTTAATCAAGATTTACTGAAACTGCCTCCATCTGTGAAAAAGTATTCACACCCTTTAACATTAAACTGTGGAAAAAAAAAAATCTGAAAAGTGTGGCATGCTTCTCTACTTTTTACTAATTTCACCTTTATTTATATGATCTGACTGATCTCATTTACAAACAGCAACTAAACAATGAAAATGAGTTCCTTTACTCTGATACTCTAAAATGAAACCTGATAACTTTCCCTCAGCAGCTGCAGTAACATCGTATCTTCACTTTAAATGTACTTTCAGGAGTAGTTTTACTCTGCTGTACTTTTTATTTTTACTTGAGTAATATTAAGTATTACTGCTCTTAATTGATAAAAATTTGTGGATATATTAAATGAAAACATGTTTTTTTTCCAAAATGTACAGCAGGGGTCACCAACACGGCGCCGCCCTGTGGAGCAAGTTCTAAAAATAGCCACTGTCACCAGGGAGCACTGCCAAAAAGACGTTTTTACCTTGAAATAATATTAGTTTATGTTTAGAATTACAAAGTGAATTATAAAGAAGTTTA